CAACAAGTTAGCGCCGATTAACAACTGCGTGTTTAGTGACTTACCGGACCTTGTACTCTGAGATCCGTTGAATACTATCCTGAGTTTGATCGACCTGCTCGATTCTCGGAGCACTCCGTGATGAGATAGGTAGCATCTTGCTTATGACTCCGATGACCTTGGCATTAATTATTTCATGATCCAACTCTTCGTATTCTTTTAGAAAGGCGTGGTACAGACATCTGAACCGCACGTCACGTTCGCACCGTCGCTCCATAGCGGTGAGCAGTCGCTCGGCTGATTGGCAGATGTCACCGAGTGCTGTTGGCTGCGCGACAAATGGCAGTCGCACGACGTACCTTCCTGCGGCTGTGAGTTCGAGCAAAGATCTCTTCGCATCGTTGTTCGTTTGGCGTGATGGACACTGAGGTTGAAGGTCCCTTTTCTTGCTCCCAAAAACGTTGCACGAGCGTGGTCAACTTGTGATCGACAGTGCACTGGAAGGAGCAGTGTAGAGTCACTGAGAGATTCTCGCCGCAGCCTCCCGAGAGAATCCATCCGAGCAGAGTGCACTGAGCGATGAGAGTATGCGGATCGCCCTTTCGAAAGCCCTCTTGTAAAATGATAGAGCATGCTTCCACGCCTAGTAACAGCTCGATGGGATTACTTTCGAATCTGCGAAAACTGTTTCGGATGCATCTCGAACAATACATTTATATATTTATATTGATATATATTTTTATATGTAAAAAAAATACACGAATCAAAATTTTATTAAATGACATTGTTTTTGTATATCCACGAATTGTGCGATCCATCGAATTCCCAGTCACTTGACGTACATCTTGTCTCCCTTCCTGCGCAATACTTTCTCCACGAGATACACATCCAGATGAGTAGCGTGATGTAACTCGTGCTTGTAGAACGCACCAGCGACGGATTTTCGCTATACTCCTCGAGTAGATAGGGATTGGTACGCTGCATCTTAACGATCGTAAACACCTCAGTGGTCCAATTTGGCGTGTAACTCTTTTCGAAAATCATCTTGTACTTGCTCACGCGTACCGAATCGCCTATTTTGAATTTTGCTGGACCAACGATTTTTATCACGCTGTACACCGTGTCCAAGAATCTTTCGGCGATCGCGGGAGTTCCGTCGGTGGGCCGCATGCCAATAGTGCGATGCTTGCGCGCGTTATAATCTGATACGAGACGCGGCAGCTCGTCGATCCACTTGTAATTGCCGTTGAGTAAACATCTTCCACATGTCGTTTTTGTGCGTGCGATTGAAACGCTCGACTATCGATGCTTTCAATGTCGAATGGAATAGTGATTAACGTCGTATTTTTTCAAGATTTTCTGCACGTCGACATTATAAAACTTCTTTCCCATATCCGTTTGTAAATTTTTAGGACATCTTTCACTTGCTCGAATTATCTCAATAATAGCATCAGCCGTTTCGCTTCTACTCTTGCTCTTGAGCGGTACGATCCACGCGTACTTGCTCAACACATCGATGACGGTGAGGTAGTGATGGCCTCTGTTGAAGTTCGAGTACAGATGCATCTCGACGATATCAGCCTGCCATAGATCGTCGTATCCTCGAATAATGATACGTCTTCGTGAAAAAGTTCTTCTCGCCAATTGGATTTACACGGGATCGCGGAATGCTCGAACGTCTCACTCGCTTTCTCTCCCTCTTCCTCCTCTTCCTCTTCCTATTCTTCTTCCTTCCTCTCGCGCTTGGAGGCAGACGCTGTGTCATCATCGCGCGACTGTCTGTCTCTTTATCGCGCGTACACCGGGACTATCAACGATCTGTCGCAGCGGTTTGATAATAGGCTTAAAATGTCTGTCCAATGCCATGTCCTCCTCGATTCTATCAGTTTTCAGAGCGCGATATTTCTTGCGGATCGACTCGCTCTTCTCGATCTTTCTCGCGATTTTTTCACACTCGCGCACATCAACCATGTTCGTCTCTGGCGACAACGACTAGTCACTAGTTACAGTATCGCGAACTCGTTAAATCCCTTTCTGTATCTCCCGTATTTAAGCGTACTATCCTTGTCTATTACTAAAAAATCTTGTCTATTAATAAATATTTTTTTTTTGCTAACAGTCACGGCACAACGCGCAAAATTCATCGTACGACGTGTCGGTGTTCGTTGTAACGTGTTTCAAGTTGGTACAATCCTGTTTGAACAGGCTCAGCAGGTTCGCGTTGTCGCGTATCAGATGTTTAGGTATCCTCGCGTATGTTTGACAGAGATAGAAGCAGTCAACACGTGGCCATTGAAAAGTATTCTCTCACCGCATCTTGTTTGTCGCATGCCACGTCATCAAAGATAAAAATAGAATTTGGGCGCGCCTCGTTCGGTGGAACGACTGTTGTTCGAAAACGTAAAGTAGATTTCGATGGACGTAAATAAATTTTCAAGATATTGATACTTTGGTTGTTGCAGTGATTTCGAATAGACGTACACGTTCTCGAAACGTACACCGTTTGGACTCTTAAGCAAACTTATGAGAACGTTGGTTTTATCACAATTCGACGGGCCGCAAATGATTGCGCGTATAGTACTCGGCAGCATTTCGCTATGCTTCTCCGCGCTGCCTCCCATCATTTGAGATTTCGCGTCACAGTTTGTAACGCGTATTATCAGCGGTTGCAGCACGAATTTCACACTAAAGGCTACGCACTCTCGAACAATTATTTAAAGGCGCGAATCCGCGAATCGCACAGTAGCAAAATGTATTTCGCGCTATCATCCTTCCGATATTTGAGACTTGAGCGCCGAGCAGTTACAATATATACCGAAGGTCATACTCTTACGCATGTACGGTGATTACATCGAACATGTCTGGGACAAGCTTTCGGAATACATGAAGGCAGATTCGGAGATTCGAACTTATCGTCGCTGCGATGAACATTACAATCAGCCGTGGCAGCGGACGCATATCGATGGCCCTACACCAAGATGAAGGATTGTAGCGAATGTCGGCATCGCGCGGCGGTCTGCTGAATCGAGTGATAAACGCGCTTCTTTTCGAGTTAAATTCCGGGCTACCAGTTTTGCGATCCGGGCACTCGGCTTACGAAGCGATTAGCCAGAGGTGACGCGGACATAAATCCGCTGGATGCGGCGTGCCGATAACATGACATTGCGTATTCTCGGAGCAACGATCTCACCTATAGACACACGGCGGACAAGATATTCGCCGATAAAACTCTAGGACAAAAGCGAGCACACGATACATGAATTTTCGCCGAGCATACCGCCAGGATATAAGATATCGGAGAAGCCGGCGCAAATCATTTATCTGCCGATCATTGCACGGAGCATTATGTATCTAACGATACGCATCATCGATCAGAACGGACGATTGCTCGATTTTCGAGGAGGAAAGATCATCGTTAGATTGCACGTACGACGACGATAGTGATAACGTGAGCGTGAGATGCTCGTGCTGAACAGAACGGAGCGTACGCAGAGAGATAACGCATTCTTTACAAGGCCGGTGACGTCACAGCTTGACAACACTCGTTCATCCAGCTGCATCAGGAAGAAGAAGAAATTGAGCGCGTCGAATGTTACATTTTTAAAGTCTTTGGGATTCGCGATGCACAACATTTGAAATGACTGATATCCTAAACATTAAAGACGAGCCTATCTTCAACGATCGCATCTTCAAGATTGAGACTCACACGATGACTTGAATCTGGATTTTGATAGATGTGTGATTCTGTACAATTTGTACGCGCGTCTCTGCAAGAGCTCCTAGGGAGTCCTTGGGAATACGAGTATCTTGAGCCGAGTCTCACCTTTACAACATTTTTACGTAATGGCCCGTTCGTGATTGCTCACCGATTGCTCTGGACAGAATGAATCGATCAAGAGTGACATCATGGACGTGCGATTAGACTTTGAATGTAAAGAGAACGTACCCGCAAATACAACAGCCTATTGTCTCATAATACACGATGGTTCAATATAATCCATTGACCAATGTTGTGCGCAAAATCACCTAAGTACACCTTTGACACGGTCTATGATACATCGCAATCGACTACAATCGATCGCAGTTTTCTCGACAACATGCTCGTGCCAACGTTCGTGGATCTGCATGGATTCATCGTTAACAAGAAATTTATCGTGAAGGAAGTGGCTGAAACAGGGGACCGTTCTCACACATTACATTTTTACGAGTTCCGTGCCATGGAAATTTTTGACAAGATCCGACAGGTCTTGCGCTTCCTGGTTGACTACTTATCATCATAGATTGCGATGGGAGGATGGGATGGTCCTGTCCCCAACGAGGCGAAACGCCTGATAACAGCCATAACAGCTGTATTTGAAGATGATACTATCGTGTACGTTAACGGACGCGAGAAACAAATGTGGAGAATGGAACTTGCTTTTGAACGATGAGCGAGAACGCATGTACATCGAGATCTTGGAGATGTAGTTTACGAAGATATGGAATTTTTAACTAAGCTGGATGTTGCTAATATTATGCGATGTGAACAACATATTCAGAATTGCGCGTTACAAAATGTATTGAAAATATAATTGGTCGCCAAGTCCGCCAAGTCCACCGCCATCGAAGGAAAAAGTGAGATATTGGGAATGTCCTGGAGAAAAGGCATCAAAGTCGTCAACGTGCTCATCAATGTCATCGAAATAAAAATTATAAAGTATAAACATTGATAAACTCGCGAACAAAGAAAATATGTAGAAAGACGTGATAAAACGTGTCGCGACATGTTCGCAATTCTCAAAAAGAGGAGAGGGTTACTCCCTCTTCGATTCTAGAAGTTTTACCACATACATCGCAATTTACGCGAGTGCAATTAGTCTTGCGATACTCGGTTGTATGAATGGTTGAAAAATATACTAAAGACAGCATCGTACGAAACGAAGAAGGACTGCAGTAACATGTAAGTTTTAACATTCTGTTTGTACACGACATACATACTGTATGCACAAAAGAAACGTTTTTAACATTATGTATGGCACGGCATGGAGCATCGCGAGGTGCGTTTATTGAGTGGACGTTATGATCTGACAACTACGGGCCACAAATTTTTGGAAATTGGAATCAACGTTGGTCCACCGAGTTACGTGGAGATCGCCCTGAGAGATCATCGCGGACATGAACTGCCACTGTCTCTCGAAACGTGGAACGGTTTCTACGAGTAGCGATGGAATATTTACAAGATACTGCGAAACGAATACAAGGACAATTTTATAAGCGTTGGACTGCTAACCGTCAGCGTTTGCATACTGAACGATGCTACGTACGTCTCGATTCTTCGTCTGTATGCATGATAATGACCGAAACGACGCTATGTTTGAATTTGATGGATGTAGCAATGTAACATTCGAACGATTAGCCCTACTCGTCGATACGGTTGATATCAAATGTACGCGATTTGATTTCTCCAACATCGCGTCCAAAAACGCTATACGCGATAATGACATCTTTAATAAACATTAGCTCGTCGATTGCGAGCTATTGGCATTAATTTTTAATACGTTCGAAAAAAAAACGATGTAATAATATGTAAATAAAAAAATTTTTTTGTTCATATCATTATGTATGTACTTTCTTTATTTCCCATCAAACCAATCCTATGCCATATATATGTATCCATTGTAATACAAAAAAATGAACAAGTATGAAAATAAACGCGCGCAATTAGGAGATTAAAATTGATCTTCTCATTTTATACCATTTACTTGATTGCGTGAATTTGTGTCACATTACATTGATGATGATCACCGCTCGAACATGTGACATGTCAAATGGTTTTAAATGTGAAAAGAAAAAAGGAAGATAGAAGAAGACGGCAACGCACGAGAGAAAGATGGTAAATATCTGATAGAGCGCACGGCAGCGGCGACCCGAAACGCACTTTGGGGTGGACGCGGGGTCCGCAACGGCGGCGGTGACAGCGGTGGCGGCAGCGTCTGCGGCGATGGAGTGTGGGGTGGCGGCGGTGGCGGCGGTCCCCAATGATACGTGACACAACATGGCGGCATGTATCATCATATCAGTAAACACCGATCCTATTATTGAGAGTGAAACTACTAGTATTGAGAGTGAAAACAGAGTATGCATAAACGTGAACTCACGATGCGTTCTCTGACATACATAGAGTACTGTAGCTGTGTGGCACCATGATGGCATGATGTACATATATGGCACACATTATTTCAGATTTCTGGACGCATGCGCATTGTTTTTCATTGTGAGTGGCTGGCGTTCTCGCCATTCAAATATTTCGTTTCGTTAAAATTTTGATATCATACATAACGACATTTTGCCATCATAAATGCGACCACATGGCATGTCGTCATGATACGTTATTATAATATATTTCTCAACGCTTTTAAAATTTCATTAACTGATGATGCGTGTTTGCCTTCCTGTTGTTAACTCAGTTCCACGTTATGTTCTAATGTCAATAAATTTACAGCAAGTTCTTAACAAGACATGTAGTACATTAATTTACATGATGCGCTAAAACTTGCTTGGTTATCTGCATGTGTATTTGCTGACATGTTGCAGCAACTAATTTCGACAAACTCAGTATAAGATGAGACAGCATTATGTCTGTCGCGTTGAACTCAATGGAATTCGAATTCTTGTGATAGCAAATTGATGACAATATGTCAGCATGAATATCCTCGACAACTCGTATTGTCATATTGTCAACAACGAGCTCAAGATGAAATGATTAATTATTCCTCACTAACATATTGCTGTCATGTTTTCAACATAATGTACCACTATTGTTTACAGTTTGCTCTAGAAATTTTGTCAATTGATTGCATATATAAGCAATCATGTTGTTATATTCATAATATGTCTTATTTTGATGTCAGCAAATGTATACAAATATATAACAACATATGCAATGCATTAGTTTGTACAATATGCTATAACACGTTTGGCTATCTGGAGAAGTTAAGCCTCACACTTATCGTTTAAAACTGTTTTGTTATTTTTTGCATTTCAATTTTGGGACGCAATTCATGATTGTCATGCAAAACAATTTCTTTATCATTTTCTGTGTCTTGTATTACAAATTCCGGATTATTTAATTCCTTTAAATGTAATTCATCAGTAGTATTCAGCAATATAATATGTTTATAAAAAGTTTATTTACATTTTAATCATATTAAAGCATTATATACTTTTTTTATCTACTACGTCTTTCCAAATAATTTTGGAATTGGAACATTTCTAATTAAAATAATTTCATGACATTTATTGGATCGATATTTTTACATAATTTGTTTAATGTTCCTTAAAGGAAGTGGTAAATGAGATGTTCTACCTTTTACTTTTTGTACAATTTACCTTTGGGGCAATTTTTTATTAATGACAGTTTCTATCTTAATAATAGTTTGAAGTGCCTTAACTCTTTGTATAAGCATTTTTTTCGTATTGTTTAAGAGATATTATTTCATCGGGTACATTATATACAAAGACATTATTTAAAATACTATACGCAGGCAAATTTCCAGTACGAAATTTTGACAATAATCACAGATATATATTCTGGCTTAATATCATGTTTTTTTATATACGCCACTAAGTCTTTTAAAAATGGAGATCCATCCATTTGTACTTTCAATTTAAATTGAAATACATTTTTTTATAACAAAATCTCTTACATGATACACAAGCATATTGAGGTGTGTCCATGGAATGTTTGGTATAAACCTTAAATACTTCCTTAAATTTAGAAAAAATTTCCTCCTCACTCAATCTAGTACGTTTGCTCATGTTTATACATACGATTTGCTTTTTCTTCTGCTACAATTATAATTTTGTTTAATGTAATCTAAATCAATAGACATTAAAGCCTTCTCTAAATCTAACATCTTTCTATAGAAATTCATCAGTTGATAAATTAAACGTTTAATATATCTAACTTTTGGAAAATGAAGTGATAATAAGTAATTGGAAAGAGATATCGCTTTGCAAAGAGTTGTATCAATAATGTAACAAATATGCGTATGACTCAACTTCATATTTGAATTTGTTTTTATTGTACATTTATGAATTTTTTGTAACAATTCTGGTATTTTCTTAAAGGTACATATATTTATCGCTTGAAAGATTTTTTCATAACAATCAATCAAAAGTGTATCAATTTATATAAACTATCGTCACATAACCATGATTTTTTTGCTTATGCTTCTATCAAAAGTAAGACGTTTGTAATTTGACCTTTCATGTTCATTGCTAATACTTGTGATGAAGAAATATTATGATATGTGTTGTTAAATGAGCCCCCTTTTAGCGCATGCGTACTGCAACCGCTGGAGAAATCCAGGAATTGGCAGGAATAACGGTTATTATGGAGGATGAAGAGAAGAGTCCTATAGTTAGATAAGTGTTACTTGTTTTTTTTCACTTTTATGTTTTCATATTTAATCAAATATTTATTTTTTTATTTATAAAGAAAAATATAAATTTGTTTTCCGAACAAAACTGGTAAGGCTAGCAGTTTTCCTTACCCTTGCAACAAATATTGGTATTTTTTATAAATTATGCCAAATAAAATATTATATCTATTATAAATTTCTGTCTCTCTATTAAGGAATCTTACACCTTTAACATGTATTTATAGTACAACACTAAATTAGATAGACAGTCTTAATTATTGTTATTATTGTTATATTATTATTGTTATCAATTATTGGCGTTTTCAGTTTATGTAACTTCATATTATATTATAATCTCGTCACTTCTATTATTAATTGACTCTTTTTTTTTACTGATTTCGGTTTTTAATAATAAATAATAACAAAAAAACAAAAAATGAAATCGCGAACGCGAGATACAGATTACTAAAGCCATCTATTGGAAAAATAATAGATTTCTTTTTACTACACCTAATATTATTAGATGCAAAAACTTGCATGCATTAACTTGTGTTCAAATGTCACTTTATCAGACTTAATATTGAATAATAATAAAGTCGCTAAAACTATAGCAAAAATACCACATTCATTATAGTTCGGTGCACTTTAAGAAATTTAACAGGATTTTTGTTAAAGTCATATGTTGGAAATAATTTTTCTAAAAATTACTTATGTTGATTATGCAATGTTTTCCTATTCAACGAATCATATATAAATATACTTTCTATCGTAAAAACTGCATACCGAATGTCCATCTAACGAACTTGACGAACTGTGCAATATTTGTATATGTTTTGTGTCTTTTGACACAGCTTTATAGTATCTAGTAATTGTATTCGCTAAGTTTTGACTGGTTTATAATCTGAATAACTTGCTAAAAGTCGTTGAAAATGATCTATATGTCTGTTCGTAAGTCATTCATCTCGGACATTATATTATATTTCTTTCAACAGGTCCCAAAGTAATACCTTTTGTCTTTACCGACATTTTATGACAAATAAACAGAAAATAAATTTCTTTGAGAAATGTCTAACAATCTTTTTCTCAAACGCACCCTTATATCATCGTATAATAATAGTAAGATGTTTACAGGCGCACAGCACCCGATCTTTATAAATGCACTGCACTGGCACATAGCAATCTTATATTGGAATACAGAAGATTTATATTGGAGAGAGAAAGAGAATGAGAGAGAGAGAAAAAGAGAGAGAGAGAGAAAGAGAGGGAGAGAAAGAGAAAGAGAGAGAGAGAGAGAGAGAGAGAGAGAGAGAGAGAGAGAGAATATATTAGTAGTAATAAATAACAAAATTAGATACTTATCTAGAAATTCTCCTACTGAAAGAAGTATGTCTATAAATCTTAGACAAAAGAAATAAAAATAGTGATAAAAAGAGATATTATAAAGGTTAATGTAAATTTTAAGAAAAGTACATTAAACTTCATAAGTTTAATGTATACGTTCATTACATTTAAGTAACTACTGTAACTTAATTTTCAACTTTTAATTTTGCTCATTATCGAGCTTTATTTACATGTAAAGAAAGTTCGTGATCATATTTCTAATAGTGTAATAAAAAAGAAACATTAAATGTAAAGAACACACTAGTGATTATTACAAAAGGTAATCACAATTTAATCTAATGTGATTTGGAAGTTTTCAAGACATACTAGTGGCAGCAAATTCTTTGCTTAATCCATCAACACATAGAAGAACACGATTTTTGCTTGATTTCAAGATAATTTTTAACACACTAAAACATAAAATATTTCAACGAAACTTGGTATCCTAAAATTTTAAGGGTCGCTTTTCACGATGATGTCAAAATTTCATTTCAAAAATCATGACGGAGCCAAAATGACGGCCGAATTGATAAAATAAATGTATACAACCTTAGATCTAATGATTTTAAAGTCTATATCTTTTATAAGCTCTTGCCTTTTTCTTTAATTTACATCTTATGCTGTCAATTTTTATCGATATCAAGAATTTTCATTAATTTATTGTACAAATCGAGATAGTCCCTTGTCAGTAAGCTCTTGAATATGTGTGGTATATATTTTTAAATATAACGGAATATACCAATCAGACATCATGCAAGAGCTTACTGAGCTCAATGGGCGGTCGTCGAACTGAACCCATTAACGATTGAAATTAGAACTACGCTCCTGCATACTCCGGCTGCGCGCTACCTGATGATGGTTTGAATCAAAATTGAGAAAGGAATTTTTGTTCATAATTTAATCCTCTTTCACTCCCTGAAATATTAAATTAAAAAATACTAGAATAAATTATTATATTTAAACTATTGACTTTTTAATATTATATTAAAGAAAGATCATATAAAATTCAATTTTACAAAATGATGATAATCTTAATAATTGTCCCGCTGAACGATGCAACTTTTTTCTTTAACATTTTTCTATATCTTTAAAAATAAATGAATTATTAAAATTTTCAATTTAAGTAGATTATTCTGTATTACACATGTGCAATAAAATATACACTTAAACGAAAATTATCGCATTAGCAAATAAATTTCTTGTGCTGTTATGTAATTATATATAAAACACATTAGAAAT